CAGGCTGAGGCCAGAGGAAAAGACAAAGTAAAGGCAGACGCCGATCCTATTGAACAACTGCTGCGGACAGTCGAGGCTTTGAAAGCCGGGGGGATGAACAAGCAACAGGTATTCGCAGTTGTGGCAAAAACTGTAGAGGATGCTTTCCCCACTCCACCTGAGGGTAGTTCAAGTCAGTCAGAAAATCAGGATAGGCCCCGTCATGCCAGAACAATTCCTCCTATTCCCAGCCCTGTACCCGGGAAAGATCAGAAAGCCAAGGTGGCGCTTGCCGACCCTTTCGCTTGTGCATCTAGTAAGAACGCTCAGACTTCAAAATACCTGCCCCGAGGGCGCAGGGTCTTTCATGCTCTCTACATGCCTCTGTCTAAGGCACTTCAAATCCTTGCCGAGAGGGGGCACCTTAAACCCTTGGAGCCTCAGCCTCTCCCGAAGAATCTCCCTGCTACGCATGATGCTGCTCAGTACTGCGCGTACCACCAGCAGACAGGCCATGCTACCGGCAATTGTTTCCGCCTCCGTCATGAGGTGCAAGATTTGATTGACAATGAGGTTATCCTCCCGCCCACCTCAGCCAAGTCCGTTACCACCCAGTTATTGGATTTTGAGGACATAGATACTGCAAGTATGTAATCAGAAAGTGAACCACCTGCGGGCGGCTTTCGGTATATTTTGGATGTGGCGTCTGGCACGCATTTTTGAGCATCTGCGAATGCTAGCTTTGTAAATTCTAGCTTGGGTATCAAGTCAGTCTTTTGTTTTGAGTCTGTTTCTTTGTCTTGAGTCAGTCTTTTTGCTTAAGGGTCTGTCTTGTTGTAGCGAGTCAGTCCCCTTTGTATAGAATACCAGGTGATTCCGGGGTTGTTGCCTCGAACACCGTTTTGTCTTATAATTACCCATTTTTTTCTTTGAGTCTGTTTCTGCCGAGGGGCCAGTTATACCAACAAATCTGAATGAAACAGCTGTGGCCATCTCATTTTCATGCTTGCTTTCAGTGTAAGTTAATTGTGCCAGAGGACTTAAATGGACTGACAGTACATCTCGCCTGCTCTCCTGCGCGCCGAACTCATTGCATTAACCTAAGTTTTTCAAAAAAAAAACCCTCTTGAACACTGCGGTGATAAAAACGAAGAGGAAGGAATTCCTCGGATTTTGCAAAATTTTGATCATTTTGAGAGAAAGAGAAGCATGCTAAGCCCTTAATGAATGAAATCGTGCTTGTCAGCGTGAGTACTGGGAAGGACCCTGGCTTGATCCAGATTGGTTCCACACTATCTTCGGTATGAGCGATTCGTCGCTTTCTTAAAAACTTTCAAAAACAAATGTTTTGCACGGCCCTGTGAAGACCTGTGTGAAACTGCTCTTGAGATTGTGCAGCCTAGGATTGCTTTCAGGCCCAAGATTCGACCCGTTCGTTTTGAACCTCGAACTCATTCGGAAGCATCAGTGTCAGTTTACGAGAATCAGTTGTCTGCGGGTATCAGGTTCAGTTTTTGGGGGCAGTGATTTCTGGGGAACAGTGATCAGCAGTAGAGTACAGTTGTTCAGCTACACCTGTGTTTGATCCATTTGGGCTGAAATGCTGAAGTTTTGGAAACAAAAATCTGCCTGCGGTAGTACAAAGTATCCATGATGGATTCTTCTACAAATCATTGCAACAGCCGTTCTCCTAGATACAAAGAGGCTTCAACTTCAAAAACCATTTGGCATGGACTTGCTACACTTTTACCCTTTGAAAGGCTCGCTGGGCCGAGAACCCGGAAGGGCAACCCAGGCAAAAGTTAGAGCAAGAGAAAAGTACAAAAAAAAAAAAGCAAAGAAAAAAATACAAAAAAGAAAAGAAAAAGAAAAGAAAAAAATGCGAAAAAGAAAAGAAAAAGAAATGAACAAAAAAAAAAGGGGGGGAAAATAAAAAAAAAGAAGCTCGCAAGGTCGAAAACCCGCATTGGGCGCCTTGGCAAAAGTTAGAGCCTGAAAAGTGAAGGTTAAAATACCCGAGTGTACCTTAACCGGAACTACGTAAGGCTTGATTCCCATGTTTGGGATACGTAGGCAACTTCATCATGAAGTCCAGCCCCCAACGCTTTCATAAGCGTCTCAGTCCATGCAATGGTTTCGATTTCATCCCCAAAGTCCAGTGGCCCGCCAACGCCTTCCAAGGTGATTGTGTCCATATATCTGTTATGACCGTCTTCATCATCTCTGGGTCCAAGAGTTCGACCGCCTCCAATGAAGACTGTCTGTGGACTGCTGCGGCACCATCTAAACAAGGGGCAACTTTCCGTTGCCACCAGTCGTCGCAAGACGCCATTCAAACCAGGGCAACTTTCCGTTGCCGTGCGACGCCCTCCAAACTAGGGGCAATTTTCCATTGCCTCCGATCCGAGGTTGCGCATCTCAAAAGAGTAAGTTCCATGCTCGTTAAGCATCAGCTGTTTGCAAAAATAGTTTTTGAAAATTTTTACTGAGGTTGACTATTTTCTCAAAAACTATTTCATTTTCCAAAACTGGACCATTTTCTTGGACCCAAAAAGGAAAATTTTCAGTGCTTACAGCCTGACTTGCATGGTTTTCAAATAAAAAATCGAACAAGTACGTTAATCCGACTCTTATCTTGATCAAAACTGTTTTTAGTAGAAAGCAAAAACAAAAAGATGGTCAAAATGATGAATTAGGGGCGCAGTTGAGTTAGGTGTTATGTTTTTCCCTGTCATCAACGTATTTGCCAGGAGGGCACTCTACCCACCAGAAGAAATAGCTGTGAGCTAACGGCATCGGGCGTGAACCCGCAACTTCCTATTCATCCATTAATCACCCTGGGGAGGGACGAAAAAAATGAGAGAATAAAGAATAGAGAGGTTTAAGTTGAGAGAAAAGTAAGAAAAAGGGTTTTGAGAGAAAAACCGAGCCTAAGGGCCGAGTGATGTGAGAATCACAGACCAGAAAGGGTGGGAAACAATACCTAGAGAAACTGGCTCCTCGTGATCCGAAGTCTCCGACCTTCGTTAACGCACCTATGTGTCGACTCTTTTGTTTTGTTTACCTCAACCTTTGTCCTAGGTTTCTCCCGAGCGTGTCTCGTTGTGTTTAGGTCGCATACCACTTTGTTTGAGTCCTCCCCGCTGTGTCCGGTTGTAGGCTCGATACCCCGGTTGGGAACCCCCCCTTTTTTCGAAAGTTAATCGTTTACGCTCAGAATGTTGTGCCATTCTCTATATTCGATTGTGTTTCAACTCCAGCTGGTTTCACCTCCGCAGTCCGTCTTGTCAGATTGGGCTGTTTTGTTTAAGGTTTGCCATGTGCAGAATGAACCGAATGTTGGGTTATTGGGCTGTATGCAGATTAATCCCCAACAGAGTAAGGGCTGTGTGTCCAGAATCAGGCAGCGGGTTGCTTGGGTTATTTTGCTGTTGGCCGTTTAGTTATCTGGTTATTACAGTGCAAGTGTTCAATTTTCAGACAACCAATCAATTTCATTTACATTGAGGTGTAATATGGCGTGATGCGATGCAAAGTTTGAAATATAAAGATATACGGATGTAAACACTTTTTCAGATAAAAAGCCTGTTTCATTTCATCAACTTTTCAAATGTACAAGTTTTGGAAACAAAAATCTGCTTGCGGCAGTACAAGGTAATCTAACTACTAACAAAAGACAAAAGTACAAGAAAGAAAAAATAACAAAAATTTGTATCCATGATGAGCACTCCGGGGGGCCATCAGTCTGTCCTAGTCCTTTTCCTGGACGAGGGTCCAGGAGCATCATCAGCATCGTCGTCAGAGCCCGAGCTAGTGCCGCCTCCGGTCTCCTCCTATGATGACTCTGACTCCGCCTCTGCCTCCGCCTCTGACTCCTCGTCATGATCATCATCCGGGACTGGAGCTCGCGAGCTACTCCCGACATGAGTGCGCCCCGCCTTAGTGCGGGGAAATGCTCTGCCCTCCTCATCTCTCCCTCGGGCAGGGACGGAAGGTCCAGCGGGAACACCTCCTGCCATAGGAATCTGGAAAGGAGGATGAAAAAGTACATAAAAGGGAAATGCATCAGTATACTGTAGATAGTTTATCAGTGCGGAATGCAGTGTATGAGTACAGTGTGAGAATGCCGTGAGCAGTCTATCAGTGCAGAATGCAGTGTATGAGTACAGTATGAGAATGCCGTGAACAGTTTATCAATGCAGAATGCAGAGTACAGTGTATGAATGTCGTGAGCAGTTTATCAGTGTAGAGTACAGTGCAGAATGCAGTATATGCAATGTATCGGATGCTGTGAGATCAGCGTGAGATCAGTGTATCAGGTGTTGTGCCATGCATCAGATTATGTGAAGCAGTGTATGAATGGTTTGAGGCCAGTGTCAGAAGAACATACAGGAATGCTGTAGAGGGCCAGGAGATCAAAAGTCCACTGAAGCATCCCCATCATGGAGGCGTTCATCTCCAATGACTGTCGGGTATACCCAGAAGAAGCCTGCAAAAGTATCAGATGCATTAATATTCTGTGGAATATCAAATAAACTGAAATGAAATGACTGTACAAAAATGCAGTAATACATACCGGAGGCAAGTCGGGGACACCGACAAACTCGTGATCAGCCAGCGGAGGGGCGAAGGGGATCTGATAGGTCGCCCCACCCTGCCCCCCACGGACTCGAGCCCTCCTCGAAGCTCCTGCTCCAGCTCCCGCTCCCGCTCCTGCCCTAGCCACTGGTGCCACGGGCCTAGCTCCCCCCGCTCGACGGCTGCCGCTCAAAGGTCGCATCAGGTACGTCTGCACGTACTCTCGATAGTCGCCGATACCTCTGAAGCGGGCCTCCTCCCAGCCAATAGTGAAATCAGCCATCTGCTCGGTGGTGAGCCCCTCGGTCTCCCTCATATCCGCAGGAGGGTGAACCGGGACTATCTGCTCAGGTAACCCTAGGGTCTGGCGTAGGAAACGCTCACCCAGGTACCAAGCTCGACAGACCGGGCCCTCCAGTAGGATCCGAAAACGTGAGGTCTCATCAGCACCGGCAAACCGGTCCCGCATTGCCGCCGGCAATGGAGCCCACGGCTGCCAAGTGATCTGAAAGTGACATACAGTTTGTTATCTACTATTTTTGAAATATGCAGTGGAAAGGCGAAGCTTAAATGAACTGCAAGTAAAACATACCTCGGCGGGGGTAATGGTGTCGAAATATCGACGGTGTCTCTCGTTGCCTCCGGGTGCATCTCCCGTCAAAGCGGCGCGAGAACGGGACGACCAGAGGAGTCTCTGTGACTGGCACGAGAGCGAGCCTAGGAAAGTAGGCATAAACCCACAACTGCAAGGTAAATACCAGTACATTTATCAGATAAAGCAGAATATAGAGTAAAAGCAGAAATAGCAGAGCCGTGTGTTGTGCAGTGTATTGTGTACAGTGTACAGTGTGAGCAGTGTGCAGTCAGTGTGAAGCAGAATGTATGTGTGTGCCGTGTGTACAGTATACAGCAAGTATAAAGCAGCCTACAGCGTGTGCAGTGTACAGAGTACAGAAAATATAGGGCAGAAATGAAAAGCGGAGAAGAAATGTACCTCCTAAGCCCGCCAATAGCCTCCGAGCAACTGGCCGCTGCCGCGGAAAGCTGAGCTCATGTACCCGTAAAGAGTGGCCAGAGCGGGGCCACCCCAGTCATAATGCAAAATGTCTCGAACGTCCACCAGTGCGCTGAGAAGGCAGAGAGGCACGGTGTTCGCCCGGTCGGCGAAAATGGTCGTCCCGAATAAGAACATGAGGAAGCTGTGGGCGTACCTCTCCACGGCCTCCGGGGTCATCGGAGCTGCATCAACGAGAGTAGACTGGACCCTAAACTGTACCTCGAACCAGGAGTACCGCACAAAACCTGGACGAGCGAGGGGTGGCGCCTCACCCAGCAGATGGACCTGAGCGGCGGTCCACTCATCCATGTTGATATCAAAAGGGATCGGATCTCCCTCCACCCCGATGCCTGTGAGCATCGAGAAATCGTAAGGGGTCATCGTCATGTCCCCTGCTGTGGAGAAATGAAATGAATCGGTGGTGTCCCACCACCTCTCTGCCAGAGCGGCGAGGAGAGGTCTGCATGTGGTGAGCCTGGAGAGTCCTCGACAGAAGGCGCCGAAGCCCGCCCGGTCCACTATGCAACGAACTGCGTCAGGAAGCTCGTCGTACCACTCCCGAGCGCCAGTGTTCCCATACCCGCGGATGGTATGGGAATCTCCCTGTAAACAGAAGATAACAATCGCAAGACAATATTCAAAATGCAGTTCTAAGAAGCATACAGATGTAGCATGCGTGCAAGTTTAACAGATTCAGATAAATACCGAGTGCCGGTGTGCTTACAGTGAACTACGGCGTGTGATGTGTCAGCGTGTTTGGGTGGTTCAGAACAGATATAGCATGCGTGCAAGTTTAACAGATTCAGACAAATACCGGGTGCCGGTGTGCTTACAGTGAACTACAACGTGTGATGCGTCAGCGTGTTAGGGTGGTTCAGAGCAGATGTGGCATGCGTGCAAGTTTAAACAGGTTTAAACAAATACCGGGTGCCAGTGTGCTTACAGTGGACTACAGCGTGTGATGCGTCAGCATGTTTGGGTGGTTCATAACAGATATAGCATGCGTGCAAGTTTAACAGATTTGAACAGCTATCGGGTATTGGTGTGTTTGCAGTGAAATACAGTGTGCGCCGTGTGTTTGTGTGATTCAGGGTTAGTGCAGTATATGTGCATGTGTCAGTTTCAAACAGATATCGGTTGTACATATGTTTACAATCAACTACGTTGTATATCATATCAGATTCAAGCAGTTAAAGAGTGCAACTAACTACGACAGTTTTGTATCCTACATTGCGGAAAGTAAAGCAGAAGAAAGAGAGTTACCTCGAAAACGCCGAAGGACAGGTGGGAGGTAGGCTCGCGCAGCAATAGCTCGGGTGGCATGTGCCTCTCGAAGCTCTGAAACTGACGGAGACCGTCGAGGGGCAGAACGTGAATCGCCGGCTGGTAGGTCGCCGGGTCGAACGGGCGCTCGCTCAAAGGTAGGAGCTCGGCCCCGGGATCCATCTCGTGATCCAGGGGAGTCCCGCCGCGTGGAATGTCGTCCGCCATGTCAAGAGTGATGAGAAAATAGCCGGAGGAAAGAAAACCGGACTGGAATACGAAGAGTCAACCGAAAAGTCAACTCCCGAGAAGGTCAAAAATGGCCGGAAAGGCCGGGATGTGAAAAGGCACGAAAATCAAGAGAAAAGCGAGGGGAACAAACCCTGAAAAGGTGGGAACGCCAAACGAGGCACCATCGGTGGAAAATGTCCGAAACGCGAAGAGGATCGCGAATCCGACGACGAAACGGGCGTAGAACGCGAAGAAACGGAAGGAAAATGAGAAAGAAATGCTCTAGAGAGAGAGGGCAAGAATTTTCGGCGGTAGAAAGGTGAAGAATAGGGTTTTCAAGCCCTATTTTATAACACCCGAGGCGAAAAGACAAAACTGCCCCGATTCAGCAACTTTTTGCCGGTCGGCATTGTTTTGTGCCGGTCGGCACTTTTTTGTGCCGATAGAATTGTTTTTGTGCCGATGGCCAGCCGGTGGCCTCCCCTTTCTGCCGGTGGGGTTCCCACAGCCTTGTTTAGGCCATTTGAGTTGTTTTGGGTCTTCATAGCTCAAGAAAGTGCAGGAAAGTGCATCTCCGATGTTCAACCAGCCTCCATTCTGACCGCGGGCCGTGTCTCCAGTGCGTGGCACTCAAATTCATGCAAGGTGTATCCTTTTTGTATCCTTTTGAATTCAAAAGTTGCCCCATGTGTGTTGCACAAGTTCATCACACTACTTCGGTGCATTACATCGCACTATTGTGCGCCACCCCTGTGCATTGTCGTGCACATGTCTCATGCATCATCATTGCATTTCCATTCCATGCATTGTCGTGCATTCCGGAATACATATCTTGCGCACCTTACTTGCACTTGTTAGTGCATTGTATTTTGTTCGCGCTATCTTGCGCACCTTACTTGCACTTGTTAGTGCATTGTATTTTGTTCGCGCTATCTTGCGCACCTTACTTGCACTTGTTAGTGCATTGTATTTTGTTCGCGCTATCTTGCGCACCTTACTTGCACTTGTTAGTGCATTGTATTTTGTTCGCGCTATCTTGCGCACCTTACTTGCACTTGTTAGTGCATTGTATTTTGTTCGCGCTATCTTGCGCACCTTACTTGCACTTGTTAGTGCATTGTTTTTTGTTCGCGCTATCTTGCGCACCTTACTTGCACTTGTTTTGTGCATTGTATTTGTTCGCGCTGTTCTGCGCATCGCACTGTTTTGTGCATTGTATTGTTCGCGCTGTTCTGCGCATTGCACTGTTTTGTGCACCCTCGTTTCCCGTGTTTGGACTAACACCTACTCCAAACACAATGCAAGCAAGCATGGCATGCACAATGCAACTCAAGTATGCAAGTATGCAATATGACTTAAGCATGCAAACATGCAATGCAATATGAACAACCTAACAAGGCTAATGGCATGCAATAACATGTGATATAACAAGCATGCAACAACATGCAAAGATGGAGCAAGCATACAACAATATGCAAGACAAGCATGCAACAACATGCAAGGATGGTCTTAAACCAATATGGGCAGACCTTAACTATGCCCCAATCAGTGGCCATAAGGTGCTGAATTGGTGGTACAAAATGCTAGACAAGCATGCATGCCAATGGGCCCAAGAATTAAGGCATAAAGATGCAACTCTTAAGCACACTTGAGGAGTGAAAAGCATGCAAGTATGACAATACTACATGCTCTGAAATGATGTTAGGAATGATACCAAATCACACACATAACACAAGCATAGCATGCATGAAGCTCAAAAGTTAAGAATTAGCAAGGGGACTTAAGCCATGGCCATACAATGCAAGTCCCAAAGGGCTAAGGGAACCTAAAACAGTCTCAAGGCAGGTCCAAACAAGACCAAAAACAAGCTCGAAGCTAGCCAACACAAGCTAGAACACAAGGCCAAAACATGGAGCATGCAAGGCTACAAAAGAAGCAATGCACTACACCTATTGAAACCAAACATGGCATGACTTGGACAGCATAAAACAGAGTTACATCATGGTATAACAAGACTAAAAATGCACTGATATGATGAGCCGAAGGCTTCGGCTTAATGGCATGCACAATGATCCATTCATAAGGCATAAAGAGCCAAGCCTCCAAGGCATTAAAAGCATGTCAAATGCAAGTGTATGACTACATTTCATAGACTGAAATAACATTTAGAATGATGGCAAAGCATGCAAACATCACATGTATGGCATGGTAGGGGCCTCAAAACCCAATGCTAGCGTAAGCATTTACACTATAGCTATACAAAACATGAGTGATATGACCATGGCAGCCCGAAACAGTCTTAGAACAGCCCAAAATAAGAACAAAATCATGCTGGAGCAAAGCCAAAATATGCCAGGATGATGCGTCAAAACATCATGCACATAAAGCTAGTAAGCAAGATTTGTTCTACAAGTATATAGAGCATGCAAAATATGATCAAACCAGCTATGGACAGTGTCATGACATGGCAAAACATCACCAAAAACATGCTGAAATAGACTCAACATAAGCTAGGATAACATGCTAAAGCAAGAAGCATATAAAGCTAGTTTATGAGTTTTACACTACAAGTGTATTATACATCCATAGAGTGACATAACTAACCTAAAATAGATCTAAGGCATGGTAAAAGATCACCAAAAACCTACTGAAATAGACGCAACACAAGCTAGGCAAACATGCTACTTTGATGAGCTACAAATGGGATTACACTACACATACAAGATGCATGCAAAAGGTGACCAAACCAACCATGGACAGAGCCAAGGTAGGTCCTAAAAGTCACAAAAAAGGGCCTGCACTAGACCTTAAAAGCATAGAGATGCAAGCTCCTTCGGAAGGCCAAAAACGCAAGCAAACAAAAACAAGAAGAGAGGGGTCACCCCCCTTTGATTTGAGGCCTCAAAACCATATGCCTACCACTGAAAATTCACTGGATTTCAGCGGTTAGAAGGCCAAACCAAGGCTAGCTCGAAGGCCTTAAGTCATGGCTCAAAACAAGGCCAAACAAGGCTAACAAGAGGGTTGAAGACCCTCAACAGTGAAAAAAGGCCTAGAACTTGATCAAGTTTGCTTTAAGCTATCTGGGTTCCAGATGCTGCCGACAACCTGCCAGCCAAAGATGGCACACTGCCGGCCAATGATGAGGAGGTATCGGCCATCTGTAGGGCACTGCCGGCCACTGATGTGCTGGGACACCGAGCTGCAGCAGAGCACAAAATAGAGAAAATTGAGGGTCTTCCAAGGGTATGTACGCACTATACCACCCCATATCACCTCAAAACATCAAGGGGGAGGCATAATCAGATCCACGACCATCAATCACACATCCCGATGCATGATGGCCAAAGATTCAACTTGTGCAAATCAATGTAAAATGAATGCACGAATAAACATATAAAGCCTAAAGCTCTATCATGTGTGATCAAGAGCGTCGGCGACCAAGAATTGAGACATGTTTCATCACTTGAAGTATGAAACACCCCTCGTTTCTCGTGCTCAGATTAACACTTAATCCAAACAAAAATGCAACACAAGCATGGCAAACATGCGACTCAAGCAAGCAAACATGCAATGCAATATGAACAACCCAACAAGGCTAATGGCATGCAACAACATGTGATATAACAAGCATGCAACAACATGCAAAAATGGCTAAGCGCGTAACAACATGCAAACATGCAACACATGCAAGGTAACAAGCATGTAGCAACATACAAAAGATGGACTTAAACCAAAGTGGGCAGACCTCAGCCATGCCCAAATCTGTGGCCATAAGGTGCTGAATTGATGGTACAAAATGCTAGACAAGCATGCATGCCAATGGGCCCAAGAATTAAGGCATAAAGATGCAACTCTTAAGCACACTTGAGGAGTGAAAAGCATGCAAGTATGACAATACTACATGCTCTGAAATGATGTTTGAAATGATGCCAAATCACACACATAACACAAGCATAGCATGCATGAAGCTCAAAAGCTAAGAACTAGCAAAGGGACTTAAGCCATGGCCATACAAAGCAAGCCCAAAAGGGCTAAGGGAACCTAAAATAGTCCCAAGGCAGGTCCAAACAAGACCAAAAACAAGCTCGAAGCTAGCCAACACAAGCTAGAACACAAGGCCAAAACATGGAGCATGCAAGGCTACAAAAGAGGCAATGCACTACACCTATTGAAACAAAACATGGCATGACTTGGACAGCATAAAAAAGAGTTACGTCATGGTATAACAAGACTAAAAATGCACTGATATGATGAGCCAAAGGCTTAGGCTTAATGGCATGCACAGTGATCCATTCATGAGGCAGAAAGAGCCAAGCCTCCAAGGCATTAAAAGCATGTCAAATGCAAGTGTATGACTACATTTCATGGATTGAAATAACATTTAGAATGATGGCAAAGCATGCAACCATCACATGTATGGCATGGTAGGGGCCTCAAAACCCAAGGCTAGCGTAAGCATTTACACTATAGCTATACAAAACATGAGTGATATGACTATGGAAGCCCAAAATAGTCCTAGAACAGCCCAAAATAAGAACAAAATCATGCTGGAGTAAAGCCAAAATATGCTAGGATGATGAGTCAAAACATCATGCACATAAAGCTAGTAAGCAAGATTTGTTCTACAAGTATATGGTGCAGGCAAAATATGACCAAACCAGCTATGGACAGAGTCATGACATGGAAAAACATCACCAAAAACATGCTGAAATGGACTCAACATAAGCTAGGATAACATGCTAAAGCAACAAGCATGTGAAGCTAGTTTATGAGTTTTACACTACAAGTGTATTATACATGTATGGAGTGACAAAACCAACCCAAAAAAGATCTAAGACTTTGATGAGTTACAAATGGGATTACACTACACATACAAGAAGCAAGCAAAATATGACCAAACCAGCCATGGACAGAGTCAAGAAAGGTCCTAAAAGTCACAAAAAAATGCCTGAACTAGGTCTCGAGAGTAAAAGGATACATGCTCCTTTGATAGGCCAAAAATGCAAGCAAACAA